AAATTGTAAAACTATATTATTATATTAAATACAATCATTTTGAAATAAACTTCTCAAGGAATTATTATTTAAATTTTATTTTAGAAATAAAATCTATCGGATTAAAATTCCACATTATTGCAGTGAGAACGAGATTATCTTTTTGGACAATCATTCTTATTCGAAGCAAACTGGACAGAAATATTGAATAAAATAAACAGACCTGTCTGCCCATTTATTTTATGCTCTCGTGCGCACTTCTCACGACACCACACATTTTCTTCGACAAAATAATCAAAATCCTCGATTGACCGAAGAAAAAACGCAATACAATCGTTCCAATTACCTTTCGTGTACTCAATTTTGCCATATTTATACAACTTTTCAAAGGTTACCTAGAAAAGTCAAACTTTTTCGTGTTTTTTACTGTGAAAAAGATTTCCGGAATCGGTTAGATCTTTGAAGTCTGTCCAAATTTAAGTGTGAAAGAAAAAAAACTTTTATAGTAAATTAAAAAACAGAAGTTTGTTGGAAGGATTTAATGAAACTGAAGCTGTGATATGTTAGGGATGATGAAGAAAGGAAATGAATCTTCTTGAAATAGAATTACCTCAGGTTCTTCGGAAGTACATATAACAAGATCTATAAGAAGTTGTGATAGTATAAATAAATAGATAGTGTGATGCATTATAGACAAGGCAAGGAGAACGCAAGGATCTGCAAGGAGTGCAATAACTGTGTGGTAGTAGCAGCGCAAATTGTTGATCAGCTCAGGTCACACTCCACCTCCCACCTTCTCACGCCGTGCCACCTCACTATCCAACAACTTCTGCTATACATCGTTGCCATACCACTTGCATATGGTAAGCAGCTGGTAGTACCGCTTTATGTAATCTCTTAAAACTGTTTCGGAGTAGTTCTCCAATGTATTTTCCGGAGTGATAGCTTATGAACCACGGAAAAGAAAAAGTTTAATGCATAAGTTTTGCAGACTTGGCAAACCCTCATCGTGAAGCCTCGATTGTAATAAGAGATAATGGAAATCGAGGCCTACTTGAAGCCTTACAGTTATAAAAACAGAGATTATAGGAAGTTCCGTCCGTTGATAAACTTAGCCGAAACTAATGCTCACTAATGAGCGTTATCTCTCCCGTAATAAAGTTTTCGACTTGGAGCTACCCAAAGTTTTCCAGCAGCCTTACTTCGGATAAGTTTTTTTCTTGCAATTCTACAATTGAAATTTCAAGCAGTGGTCAATATAGTGATCAGTTTTTCTGTTGGTTGAGCACTTTATTGAAGATGTCGATGGGATGAAAATAAGATTAAATTGGCAGGGTAAGGTAAGAAATAATTGAATCTTTGCACATGTATCGAAACATTTCGGTAATTGACAACTTTAAGCAACATATCACAATCCAGAATCAACAGATCATTTAATTATCAGTGGGCGTTGTTGTATTCAAAATATTTTAGTGCAATCTAACTGTAAAAATAGCAATTTAATTTTTTTGCATAAGATTTCTTTTTCAAATTGAAGTGGAAAAAACTAAATTTAAACTTTTAAGATATTTTCAATACTCCAATATCTCTTCTATGGTGTTGGTGAGTAGAAACGATCAATACAATTCATTCCATATGCGATCATTTAAAATGGCTATTTGTACGCCATTACTAACTACTACTACGTCAGATTGTCGTCCACTGCATAAATAGCTAAATGATTGTGTGTCTTGTTTTTATCAAGATATGATTGTCTGTCTTGTTTTAATCAACTAATTCTTATAAACTAATGTGTTTGTGAACCAATTTAATTACCATGAAGGTTAAAACCGATGAGTTATTCTCTTCTCAGTTCTTAGTCATTCTTTCCTTTTTTCTTTATCGACGATCTTTCGCGGGTGAGGATATATTAATTTTCTCTCAGTGTAGGTGAAAGTAATTTTCGTTGCTGTTTACTGATAAACTTACTGGAGGAAAAGTAAAATGCTGATAACACCGCACTCTTTCAAAATTGATACCTTTAAGCATCCGTTCCAGTAAAACTGTCGTAAAATTTCTCCCCCAATTCCTCTCTCCATTAATCTCCATTATAAAGAGCTAACAGAAGAGCCAGCTACTGAAATCGTTTCGGATTCCAGAACCTGCAACCGACTGCTCACTCATCAATCACTTTTTTTCAATATATAACCCAAGAATTATTCGGGCAAAAACATTCTTTCATGAAAGAGGCGTTTTGTGACTAAATCAATTTCTGAGTGACAAAAAAGTACATACACATGATTTTGAATAAAATATGCAAATATCTGAATTATCTAGAAACAATTCAACGAAAAAAGAACCAACAACAGGGTAGAACTATTCGAAAATCTGGAATAATTATGCTCAATTTGTCGCGACAACTGCAAGCCATGTAACAAAAAAAAAAGGAAAGAATACATCACCATTCACAAGCGCTTCCTCACCTCTTTCCATACATAAATCAATATTTTTTGTTTTAAATCCACTAAGTGAGCTTTAACTTTCCTGGCCAAAATTCCAGTTATGAAGTAATCATCGATCTACAACTAAATCATACATTTGTTTGATCCAAAACCTTTTTTTGCTTGAAATCGGTGATGAATTAGCAAAATCCCCTATCCTGTCTCGTTTACATAAGTCATTTCACTTGTGCTTTAGTGATAAATAATTGCGCTTCAGCTTTAACATATTTCAATAGCCTTACAGAAGCTTTACAGTAGTCGGAAAATTCAATCGGTGACTTCTAACCTTTGAGTTCAACACCATGTTACTATTCTTGATTGGAAAAAACGAACCCAGACATATTTCTCTTTTGCAGCCGCTCATAACAATACGCTTGGTAAATCACCGGTGAATATAATTGCCATACCTACGCAATAGTTCGAATAATATTTAGGTGGTAATTGACCCTTTGCTACATACCTTCAAAAAAATAACAGTTATTCTTACCGGATTTCCGGAAACCTGCATGAAAATTTGCATGAACCAATTATATGCCAATAGAAAAGCATGGAAGAAGAAAACGGTATGCTTATGTAAATATGACACACCACTTCTTATCTTGTGATACTGGTCGCTCATAAATGACACGACAGAAGATTTGCTTTTGTGATTCCAGTAAGTATACTGCTCTAACATGCTCGTTCAGGAAATTAAGCATTTGTAATATATTGCCTACAGCGTCATCATCAACTTTCATGATGTACTGCACATTCGGACAATATTCATCGATGAAGCAAAGCCATATCAACATCTTAATGATCGTCTATGTCTTGCAGGTCTCCTCATGCCTTTCCTGATAAATCAATCATGACTACAAAGTTCTAATATCAGTGATTAAAAAAGAAATATCAAGAGAATCGGGTATTAGTAAATTGTTTTTCTTTTTTTAAGAACTCGATTCAAGAGCAGTGTACCAAACCGTTCTCGGTGTTACTTGTAAATACATTTCTAAATCGTCAACGTCATCTCATTTTGTTGTTCACCACAGAACGTTTATATTCAACCTTTCATGTTAAATTTCTATAGCTATCACGGAAGTTTTGTTGAATAAGATCGTGCTCTTTCTTTCATCCTTCAAGTAACTGTTTCTGCATTTTACTATCCTCCGGTATGTATACCTACTGCAAATAGTGTCGTAATGCTATACTACAAATAATTTATTTAGTTTTTTTCAACATTAAATTTACAAATTGCTTGTGTATATAAATCAAATCACTTCTTACAACAGCAAATAATTTATAAAAACTTGCTCAAATATTTCAAATTGTGAGCTTTAGATGTTATGGATTAGGGGGATAAAGAGCCGCTCCTGTTATCGGATGTCATTTGTTGGGAAGAGTGTATCTTTCGTTTTAATTGAAATATTGCAATTATCAAAACGTGAAACGTAATTAAAGCCCAATGAGTGGCTTTTGATAGCTGCACTGAATTTCACTTGAAATTGTTGGATGGAAATCCAAACAGTTTGTAAAAACGTCGATCGTAAGTATACACGTTGTTTGAAGTAACTGGTGGCAGAATGAATAACGATTATAATGGTTGGATTTTTGGTCACAGTACAACACAAAACTTTTACAATAAAATTGTCCCAGCTGTATTGATATGTATTAACTAAAACATCATTTTCATTATTATTACCATTCCTATATATCTGCAAAAAAAGTCTTTCTTAGTTTAATACTATTAAACTAAATGTGTTTAATAAATGCTTGCTGATTCAATTTCAAAAAATTGACACAAAACTGATGCAGTAAATTCAATAACATCACTTGATACCTTTTTGTTTATTGAAGGGCGATTTATCCAATTTTCAGTGAATGAATTACTCTTCACCACCATTAATGTGATTAATGGTAGCATGAAGTAGAAACAAAAGAACAAAAAGCAGCAGTATAAGGTCACTGTGAGATATATCTTGAAACGTATCGATGTTCGGCGTCAGTATCATTTCATCGTTGAATCTTTCTAAATTTTAAAATTACTAACCCGAGGCGACAATTATTTCGTCAAATTATGGCAGGATTAGTGGATAGAACAATGAAGTATAGCTGGATACGTTTTTTTTTTCTTTTTAAATTATCAAGAAAGTAGTGATAAACTGAAAGTAATAATATCACAATAGTGCATTCTGATTTTCAACCAATTGATAAAGTTTAAAATTTTTTCATGTTTCTTGCCCACAGTAAATGAAAACGAATTGTTTTCCAAGGTCTTAAGCTCTTCTGACAGCGTAGTGTGGTTCTAATTTTTAATTAAACCAAATAGTTACCCAATTCCAGGGCACGTTAAAAAGCGGTGATAAGGATAGGAATACTTCGTTGATCCTTTGGTAGTGTATCAAATGAATTAATACAAATGAAACTAACGGCTTTCTATGGACGAATCGATGTGCGAGGATATCATACAGGTGAATGGATTTATTTAGCACAAAAGCAGCAAAATTTTGAATTTGTAATTCAATCAAATGAGACAAGGAGAAATGCTCCTCGCTTCCGACCAATTATTCATTTGAGCCTTCCTTGCAACTTTGGAAATTTAGTGTAAAAAAAAATTATAACAATGAAAGCATTAGTACAAACAAAAATAATTTTTGCATAAAATAAAAGTGAAAAAAGAGGAGAAAGGATGTTCCTCTTTTCTTCCACACCTCTTAATTTTTACCCACTAAAATATTTATACGAAATTGAAGTATCATCAGAGTGCTTCTATTCAAATAACATTTGGAACATTTGGTTTGATTTTTTTTCGCTGAAATTGATACATGAGGGATTGGCAGGGGAAGTAGCAGGAAGGATGAAGGATGAACTGTTTTCCATTGCAGAATAATTGTTCGTTGAAATACTTTTTTCTGTCTTTTTTGTAAGGAAACCGTACCACTTATTACTCTTGTTGGTGTGAACAAAATTCTTGTACTTTCATTCGTTCATTTTCTGTCGTTCTGTCGTTCATTTTAAAACCAAAAA